TTTGTGCTTTGTTACTTTTGATATAAAACCCAAGAGGTCTCAACCTCTCAAATTCTGTCTTAAGTTGATTATTCTGAGCCCATTGGCAGATATCGCACTTATTTTTAAATAAGTTCACTTAATTTAATTTCTCAGAAAACGTAACTTATGCTAGTTCTGCATCTATCGTGATTTCAGTTGCATTTTAGACACTTGCACTGCCAAACAAGACAAAAATACTGATGAAGAGCATCAGGTTTTTTTTTTGGGCAGTGTGATCTGAGGTAAAAGTTATTTCCATATTCTAGTTAAGCTATTTTATTTGTATTTTAAAACTTGTTCAAAGTTCTACTTTCGAACTTTGAAGTATTGCTGGTAACTCATAAAACTATATCACGATATTTTCTGGTATTTGTTGTGATAATATTATAACAATAATATATCCGGTGACTGTGGTACGCGCGTTCACGAGAGAGAGACGTCCAGCGGATGACGCAGGCGCAGCGTGAGCTCCGGCAGTCTCCTCTCGGCTTATATCGAAATCCTCCCACATTTTTCTTTACAAATCCTTGTTTTGTGCTTCTAATTGGTGTCCTGTTTTGTTTTGCTTTCTCTGCTGCGCTTCAGCGTTCGTCACTTCTCACCAGAGCTCACACTACGCCTGCGTCCTACATCATCCGCTGGACGTCTCTCTCTTGTGAACGACAGCGGAAGCTAGAGATTACAGTTTGTAAAGTTTTAAATATGGATATTTGTGTTACACAAACGCATCGATTCGCTTCAGAAGGCCTTTATTCACCCCCGGAGCCGTGTGGAGCACTTTTAATGATGGATGGATGCACTTTATTGGGCTTCAAAATCTCAACACCCATTCACTGCCATTATAAAGCTTGGAAGAGCCAGGACATTTTTTAATATAACTCAGATTGGATTCGTCTGAAAGAAGAAAGTCATACACACCTAGGATGGATCGAGGCTGAGTAAATCGTGGAGTAATTTTCATTTTTGGCTGAACTGTGCCTTTAAAGAAGAGAGAAAGCAATGAAAACGGAGCATTATGTAAAGGTTGTCTGTCTATTTCTTGACCTTATTCTGTGTGAAATAAGCCTGCAGTAATGTGAGACGAGGTCACTGGCTGCGTGGTCGTTGTGTAAATGTGTAATTGTATTCAGTATTGCGTGGGCGCAGAGATGGACCACGAGTTCAGCTTCAGAGCGCCATGATGAACACTCGCTCTCTGAGATTGGTTGGGTTAGTAACTATTCAGACCCATTATTTAAGCGTGCACAAACACACATATATAAAATGCAAATTATCTTGTTATAGTGCCACCCAGTACATCCATCTCTATAAAGGTTAATTGGGATATTTGTTTCCCCCAGTCTTCTGAGTGGCATAAAGGCTCCCACTTCACCTGAATTCACCCCTAGTGTATATATATATATATATATATATATATATATATATGTGTGTGTGTGTGTGTGTGTGTGTGTGTAAATGTGTAACATCCCAATCCTTGGATCCAGTATGTTCATGTATAATCAGAGATTGTCCTGACAGAACCTTTATTGGTTTGGCAGATATGATGAGCCAATGAGAAGTTTGGGTTTGGTTCATATTGGCTCATAGAACACATACTTTTTCAGAAGTATTTGTTACATTCCTTTTCCCAGTAAAGATTTACAAATATATATTCAGAATTATAAACCATGAACCAAATTTGAAAAAGAAAGAAACAAACCAACAAAAAAAGCTTATGAAATCTGCAAAGACAAAGGGGGAAAAAATGAGGTAAAAGACTTTGAGGCATTAAACTACTCATCCTGTGAAACATTGAATGTGAATGTGAACACTTTTTTTTAATTCTGGTAATTCTGGACAGGTAAATTCTAATAATTAATCCAGGTGAGGTTTATTGATGTGAATACAGTGTGTGGGGAGAGCAGCCACACTTCAGGCGTGGGATTTGTTTCAAACATGTAGTTATGATACTGCATATCTGAACTCTTGGTAGCTTCAGAAGCTGTTAAAATGAACAAAACCCTTTCTTTCAAATATTCCTGAAACCGATATAAACAAATATAGAATCTTGTGAATGGACTACTGAGACCAAGGTAATGAATGTTTCAGTGCATTTAGCACTCACACAGGTGTGTTCTATGCAGTTATTTTTACAGAGGGCAACAACCTACAATACTAGTTTCAACATTATTTGTTCTTCAGTCATTCCTCTTTAAAAGAAAAGAAGAATCATCTTTATGCAAAGTGACCCACATTTGATTTTAGACCACTGAAAATGTGTACAATTTAACAATTTACTTCTGGAGCCGTATTGAGATTCTAATGTCACTGGAATCTTTCTGAAGTCATTTTTACACCCCTGTAATCTGGCTCTGAATCTCAGGTGAAAATTGACATTTTGACCCCCCTCTACAAAATAGTGCATCACTCAGTAAATATTCATCCATGACATTTAATGTTTTGGCTTTCTTCTTTGCTTATGTATTTCTTTTACCAGAAAAAAAAGATATATATTAACAAAATTAAAAAAAATTGAGCCGGAGACCTCTGGTTGAGTCGACAGAATGATTACCATTCAAAAGTTTGGGGTCAGTAAGTTTATTTTTAATTTTTTTATTACTATTATTATTATTATTTTTTTTGAATAATACTTCAATGCAGCAAGGATGCACTAAAGACATTCACAATGTTGCAAAAGATTTCAAATAAATTCTGTTCATGCTCTTTTTATCTTGTTAAACAATGTATCACCGTTTCACAAAAAGATAAAGCAGCACAACTGTTTTCAACATTGATAATAATGGCAGTCATCACAGGAATAAATTACATTTTAAAATGTATTACAATACAGTTATTTAATATTGTGAAATAATACAATAATATTAGTTTTTACTGTATTTTTGATCAAATAAATGCAGCCTTTGTTGAGCAGTAGAGACTTCAAGAAAAAATCTTACTAACCCCAAACTTTTGAACGGTAATGTATATTCTACACAGTATAGCTTGTCAGTTGTGGTCGTTTTCTCCCTTTTTAAATCATCAAATAATTTCCCTTTTTGAATATATTAGCATATTGTGATTACATTTCAACACAAAATGATTGTGTGCGACGTGTACTTTCTAAAAAAAGCTCCCTAGACGAATCATCTGCTGGAGAACCTGGTTATCCAACACTTGAGTTTGGATTTTAGCAACCCAGAAAAGCTGTCTTAATTAACCTAAACAGTTGAATGCATTTGATGTAATGCTAATTCTGGAGGCTTGTTCCAGTAAAATGCCGGGACTGTGCAAGTAAACACTTACAGAGAGAGAGCTGTCCAATACCTGAACAAACAACAAACACAGAGAAAAGAGATGAGCAATGTGGTGAACACCTGTCGGAGGTGTAGCAAAAGTCTCAAACAGAGGGAACTTTATTATTGAAGTGGATGGTTTTCTGACATCAAGAGCAGTTCACTGGTTGCTGGTGTGTCAGTGACGCTGTAATTTGAACATCTCTGCAACCACGAGTTCATGAAAATAAAACAAAACACCATCTGATCTTAAGTTAAACAAACTCTAACATCAGCAAATGGACTCAGTCTGTCTTTGCATAGTTCAACTTCAAGCAGATGAAAAAGAAACCATGAACAATGTAAGCACTACAACAAAACACTTTTTTTTTAATGTACTTGAAATATACCCGAACCTATTGATGCTGGCTAATGTTCAAGTTAATAATAAGTTTATAATGGGGACTGCTGGGATAAATGTGTAAATTATGTAATTAATGTACATTAATACCCAGTCTGTGGAGCGTTCAGTCCTGATCCCAAAGCTACATTCTGTTCAGTCACGACATCAAGAATAGAAACCAGCCAGCATTCCGTATATTAATCAAGACTCAAATATGCAAAATACGTAACTTTAAAGTCAGTTTTTTTTTCCACAATCTGCACCAAACAAATCACGTTGAATTAATATTATGCACGCTTAAATAAAAACATCAGGACCACATTGAAATTTCCTTTCTAGGTTTCTAGAAATGTTCTCCAAATCAGTCTAATTTGATAGACTTAACCATTGTTTTAAAAAATGTAGGGATGCACCGATATGAAAATTTTGGCCGATAACCGATAATTCTTTAAATATGAAAGCTGATAACCGATATGTTGGCTGATAAATCTAAATCCAAATTTTTATATCATTTTTGAGAGCCTGATTACCAAAAAAGTCTCACCATTAAAAGCTAAAGCTGATCACCGGCAAACTGAAGCGCTCTATTAACACTCTTATTAGCTTAACCAAACGCATTCTATATGAGATAAATCAGATTTATATGCATAAAATAAACACAATATTACAACGTACAATTGCACAAAAGGCTGTAAATGCACAAGCAAACTTAACTGTGCTATTCATGAAGGTGTAGCTCCGTTGTGGATGCGCTCTTCCCGTAACAACGCGCTAAAACACGGGCGAAAAAGATTCCATAGCATTATTTTACAGTAGCTAATGATCTCATTATAATATTACAGACTTGCTCTGCACATGTTGCAGTTCACAGTATTTTCCTTTTCAAAGTGATTCCAATAATATTTCAAGCAATTAAAGACCATGGGGAACAGTGCGCATCTGAAGCGTCTCTGAAGGAAATAATGCATTATTTATCGGCTCTAAGATATCGGCCAAATTCTCTTATCGGTTCAATAACGTTAACAGAAAAATGTACATTTATCGGCCAATACCGATATGGTGGCCGATATATCGTGCATCCCTAAAAAAACAAATTATATGTTGATGAATGTTATGAAGAACATGTCTAGGTCATATTTCACCTCAAAAACATTTTTTTATTTTTTATTTTAAATGCTAATTAAGCACATTTGCCCAAATTATTCTTACAGTGCTTAATTAATCTGCATTCATCCAAATTAATGATTGTCATCCAAAAAAAAAAGGTTCATTAATGGTCCTAAAAATATGCTCAATTTGATGCAAATTATAATTTCTTATTTTTCATTTAATTTAATTCATGGTTTAAATGTGACGATAATTTGCTGCATTCTTAGTGTAAAACAATGATTTAGCAAGCAAAAAGTTTAACCAGTGATGGCATTGCAAATGCAGCTGTTTGCTTCACATTTAATCCTTTTCCATGCTAACGAAGAGGCCTGAAACTAATTAGAATCACTCCCTCCAAATAACACTGTATTACTCATCGGGGGTGAATCCTTCTTGTTCATCTGCACATATTTTAATGGTAATTGTAGTCCAATAATTCATTTGCACAGAGGGCCGTTATCGGGAGTGAACTCCAACGAAACGAGACATTTAACCCAAAACGAGCTTTTGCAGTTTTCCGACCCATCCACAAAAACAGGGCTCTATGGGTGTAATGAAGAGGAAAAGATGTGAATAAATCTCCCTATCGCTGGCTGTGAATGGTGAACATGGCTTCAATAGACTCACTCCATGAGAGATCATCATCTATTTCAAATGAATACCCATAGAAGAGTTTCCTGACCCATTCAAACACTGGGATTGGAACAAAAGGACAATTTCCTGTTTGTATGGAAGCCGTTTCCACCACTGAATAAAAATGTAATTGCAACTTTTTTATCTCACAGTTCTGACTCGCGATTATGACTTTTTCTTTGAATTTTGTGGTATAAACTGAGTTAAGACAGAATTGAGGCATATAAACTTGCAATTGTGAAGTCAGAAATACAAGATGTAAGCTCACGATTGCGAGAAAAATTTAGAATTATGAGATTTAAGTCACGATTACCTTTTTATTATTTCTTTCTCGCAATTCTGACTTTTTTTCCTCAGAATTGTTAGATATAAACTTGCAATTGTGAGTTATAAAGTCCAATTCTGAGAAAAAATTATTTTCTTACAATTGCGAGTTTCCTTATAACTTGCAATTGCGTGTTAAAGTCAGAATTGCGAGATATAACCTCACAATTCTGACTTTTCTGACAATTGACTTTTTTCTCGCAATTGTTGAGTTTACATCTCACAATTCTGACTTTTTTCTTAGATGCAAACTGTCAATTGCGAGAAAAAGTTTGGCGAGATAAAGTCACGATGACCTTTTCTAACATTATTTCTTTCTCGCAATTCAGAATTTTTTTCTAAGAATCGTTCGATAAACTTTCACGTTAAAAAGTTCAGTTCTGAGAAAAAAAAGACAATTGAAATATTGTTTTCTTACAATTGCGAGTTTCTTGAAGTCAGAAAAAAGTCAGAATTGCGAGATAAAAGTCACAATTACCTTTTTAATTTTGATTCAGTGGTGTTTGGGAGGCTCATCAATATTGCATGATATTCACTGGCTGCAATATGATAAAACGCATGATCTGAGATCAGAATCGCTGTCTGTTAGGATTCTGATGGACGAGCGACTGGATGGATGTCATGTGTTTTCTACAGCATCTCACCCTGTTCTCCAGAAAGTCAATGGGTTGCTTCCACCTTGTCGAGGTCCATTTCAGCCCGTCGAGCCGCTTTTTAAAGAAAGGGGAAACTCTCAGTATCTTCTGTGCTTCATGTCCTGACAGTTTCTTCAAAGCTCTGTCAGGTAGAGAAGTCCGTTTGAAATCCCGCATCCCATCAGGACACTTGTTCTCTTCGCCTGTCAAACGATAAAACAACAGACTGGGAACAGGCAAGAAAGAGGCGTCCTGAAAACAAGCAAATAAAAAGGAAAGTTCCTGGAGACGGTGGTGTCTCATTGTGAGGATTGGCTGTGGCTCTTCTTCTCGGCGTTCTTGAAGACCTGCTCGTAGGAGGGAGGCGGGTGGCTGCAGTAGGAGGGCGGTGGAGGGTACGAGCTCAGCATGTGTGCTGGAGTCGGCTGACCTGGGTAGGCAGGAGTCAGGGTCGTCGTCATGACGCCGCAGGGGTCACCGTAGCCTTGCATGCCCGGTTGCTGGGAGACTGTTGGAGAAAGATTGAATGAAATCATGGGTGCTTCTCAATTCTTATTTGTGCATCCTCGCTTCCTTTCCTCGCGTCTTAGCTCCACCCCTTCAGGATGCGAGGGAAGGACGCAAGGAAAAGACTCGAGGATGGAGGAACTGAATCAAGTGAAATTATATATCCTCGCTCACTCCCTTTCAAAGCGTCATCAGCTGCGCTAAAGGGATCTGCCCTTATGTTGTTAAAGTTTGTTATTTAAGACATTCATAATAAATATTAATAAAGAAAGATGCCCTGTTTGAAATATATGACATGCATGGTTTATTTAAACTGCAAAGGTAAAATATGATGCGACTTGGCAAAGCTGCCATCCTACTGTGAGACACTTTTAAAAAAAATTCTAATATTTTTTTTCTACACCACAGCAGCATTTAAACCAATCAAAGTGGAAAAGTATAATTTATAATCTGATAAATTACAAAAACAATGTATAATTTACATAAAACATTCTATATTTTTATATTTTAATAAATTTAATACACAGATTATATATATTTTTATGTATTTTAATACATTTATTAAAACACACACACTCACTCACACCCACCCCTGTGTGTTTTTTATAGTTTGTTTTTTAATAGTCACTTTTTTCCCCCAAAACTTGGACTCTCCCTGCTCCTGTACGGAATGAGCTTCCACCCAGCGCTATTTCAGTGTTAATGATACTATTATAGTTGTTATTTTTATATTTAGTTTTTGTTTTAATGTTAAAGTTTCAGTAATTTAGTTGTTTTTGTAAGTTTTAGTATTTTTTACATGTGTATGTAGTTTTATTCATTTCTGTTTCAGTTATAGCTGTAGATGTTTTAGCACGAGTTAGCTCTGCTTTAGCTTGTTTACTAAAGCCTGGCATGTATACGGTGAATATTGTTGGCTCTGACAAATTGCTTGCGAGGTTCCTCATCTGTAAGTTGCTTTGGTTAAAGGGTTAGTTCACCCAAAAATGAAAATTAGCCCATAAATTACTCACCCTCAAGTCATCCTAGGTGTATATGACTTTCTTCTTTCAGATGAATCCAGTTGGAGTTATATTAAAAATTAAAGGAAAACCAGTCTCCTCTTGGCTTATATCGAAATCCTCCGACATTCTTCTTTACAAATCCTCGTTTTGTACTTCTAATTAGTGACCGTTGTTTTGTTTTGATCTCTCCGCTGCGTTTCCGCGTGCGTCACTTCTGAGCGGCGCATGCACAAAGCTGACTCCTTCCGTGACCCGCCCGGAGCTGCTTCTGTGTACAACAGTGAGCGCAAGCTAGATTAAAGTGATTATTATGTTCTGAATATGGATATTTTTCTGACAAAAACGCATCAATTCGCTACAGAAGGCCTTTGTTCACCCCCCGGAGCCGTGTGAGACACTTTTTTTTATGGATGGGCACTTTTTATTTAACTTCTTTTGGACTGATGCATGCAACACCCGCTGAGTGCCATTAAACAGCTTGAAACATCAAAGACAATTTTTAATATAACTCCAACTGGATTCATCTGAAAGAAGAAAGTCATATACACCTAGGATGACTTGAGGGTGAGTAATTTATGGGCTAATTTTCATTTTTGGGTGAACTAACCCTTTAAAAGCATCTGCTAAATTAAATATAAATATATTTTAAATTTCTTTAATATACACTATCATTCAAAAGTTTGGGGTTGGTAAGCTTTTTTTTATATATTTAATATTTTCTGAAGAGTCTTTTTTTTCCACCAAGGCTGCATTTATTTGATCAAAAATACAGTAATATGAAATATTACAAGTACCCTATTTTTATTGTAGATTTTTTTTTTTTACTCCTGTGACGCAGCATGTGTGTTTTATTTTCACAGTCGAGTTGTTATTATATGCTTTAAGATCTTATTATTGTGCTGGTCTGATATGGATGAGCTGAAGGGAGTGTAGAACAGAGGAGAGACCAGCAGATCTGACATCAGTGTTTAACCAGGTAATAACGCTGTTTATTAATATCAGATTTACAGGGACCTTTTTTCAGCTTTACGGCGCTATCATTCAGATGAACTGCAGGAAACGAGATCTCTAGCCGTTCTGGGCACTTTGATTCAGTCTCTTATTGATGCCAGTTAGGTTTTGTTTTCTTCTTAAAATAGAGCACAGGTCAAGCACTTTGTTTTTCAGCTTCCCTATCTACTGTAAGATAAATGAGAGAGAGCTTTTCCTTTTTCATGTTAATTTGTCCTCTAAACAAAACTCTTTAAGAAATAAAAACCAGGGAATTGCAGTCTTATTCAGATTCTCAATTCAATTTTCCACTCGAGCAGCAACTATAACGAGTCGCTTCATTTTCCCTCAGTCTTAAGAGCCAAACTAACGTGACCTATTTTTCACGTTTTAGTGGTTGGAAAAATAGTTTCACTATGAATATTGCCAGTTGTACACAGCAATGTTTTTATCTTTATATGTAATCGGTGCTACTCTTTGCCTTCAATAAGCTGCAGGGTTGTGTTTTTATGAAAACTGATCTCAGCTGTATGTACATTATTTGACATCTGCTGCATGCCGTCTTATCATTTCGACTCGTTCTTCATGCAAACGTGAATGTGAATTATACATTTATAATAAAAGCCTAGCAGGAAAGTGTGCATCAATGCAAATAAATGTTGAATTTTGCAACTATTCCATTGTTTTTAAATTATGACCATGATATTAATGCATGAAACTAGTGTGGCAGAATCATTTATCAGCACTCTATTATCAAAGCTTTCAACTCTAGTATTAACCAGCTAAAGCCTGGTTACTTTCACTTGTTCTCCATGCAAGGAAGAGACCAGAACATGTGATATGACATTAAAGCGCCATTTACACTGAGCTGACAAAAACCAGACCAAATCCACGCAACATCACAGCTCAAGTACCAAATATGAGTCTGGTATTTCTGCTTTTGACCCCGTGGCGTTGGTCTCCTCCGTGCATTACTGTAAGCTGGTTTAGCAAACTGAGGGATGAGCTGAAATGATTATCTGATAACATGCACAGACGCAGCACAACCCTGAATATTCCTTTAAAGATCCACATTACAGCCTTATTTTGCTGCCAACCGAAGCAACACTTGATATGATGGAGTGTGACGAATGCATCGAACGCATGGAAACATCGAGCAGCTAATAATGCACCAGATTACATAATAGGTTTCCGGAAACAGTGTTTACTCCGTCTATTGAGAAGAGCAGAGCGCTGTTGGCGACAGATCTGCTCAAACACCAGAATGGCTCATTTAGCAGTTTTCTGCTGGTTTGGCACAGAGATGGGAAATAAATCAAGTCTGTGGTGAAGTGCCAACCTTGGCTCCGAGCGAGAGCCGAATAATAATAACTGCCCGTTACCGAGCCTAATAGTGAGGAAGAATTCGCTCTGTGTTTCCAAGCCAGCTAAACTGTGAGATGTTTTATAGCAGCAGCACAATCATAATCAGTAAGAGCTGTGTCCTGTCACCGTTTCCCAAAACAGCAACCTGAGCTCACCAGAGTCTCGTCTCCAACACTCCACATGTGCAGCAATTAGACTTAATGACTCAAAAACACTCACAGAGGCTCAAAATACACCACAGTCAGCTTTCTAACTTACATTACCATTCAAAAGTTGGGTCAGTGAGTTTTTTTTCTTTTTTCTTTTTAAGAATTTAATACTTTTATTCATCAAGTGTGCATTAAAGTGATCAAAAGACATTTATAATGCTACAAAAGATTTCTATCTCAAATAAATGCTGTTCTTCTGAACTTTCTGTTCATCTGTGAATCTTGAAAAATAAAATGTATCTCAGTTTCCACAGAAATATTGTGCAGCACGACTGTTTTCAACATTGATAATAATCAGAAATGTTTGTTGAGCAGCAAATCAGCATATTAGAATGATTTCTGAAGATCATGTGACACTGAAGACTGGAGTAATGATGCTGAAAATACAGCTGCGCATCACAGAAATACATTACAGTTTAACAGATTCACAGAGAAAACAGCTGTTTTACATTGTAATGATATTTCACTGTTTTTCGGATCAAATAAATGCAGCTTTAGTGAGCAGAAGAAACGTCTTATCAACCCCAAGCTTCTGAGAGATGGGAAATAAATCAAGTCTGTGGTGAAGTGCCAACCTTGGCTCCGAGCGAGAGCCGAATAATAATAACTGCCCGTTACCGAGCCTAATAGTGAGGAAGAATTCGCTCTGTGTTTCCAAGCCAGCTAAACTGTGAGATGTTTTATAGCAGCAGCACAATCATAATCAGTAAGAGCTGTGTCCTGTCACCGTTTCCCAAAACAGCAACCTGAGCTCACCAGAGTCTCGTCTCCAACACTCCACATGTGCAGCAATTAGACTTAATGACTCAAAAACACTCACAGAGGCTCAAAATACACCACAGTCAGCTTTCTAACTTACATTACCATTCAAAAGTTGGGTCAGTGAGTTTTTTTTCTTTTTTCTTTTTAAGAATTTAATACTTTTATTCATCAAGTGTGCATTAAAGTGATCAAAAGACATTTATAATGCTACAAAAGATTTCTATCTCAAATAAATGCTGTTCTTCTGAACTTTCTGTTCATCTGTGAATCTTGAAAAATAAAATGTATCTCAGTTTCCACAGAAATATTGTGCAGCACGACTGTTTTCAACATTGATAATAATCAGAAATGTTTGTTGAGCAGCAAATCAGCATATTAGAATGATTTCTGAAGATCATGTGACACTGAAGACTGGAGTAATGATGCTGAAAATACAGCTGCGCATCACAGAAATACATTACAGTTTAACAGAGATTCACATAGAAAACAGCTGTTTTACATTGTAATGATATTTCACTGTTTTTACTGTTTTTCGGATCAAATAAATGCAGCTTTAGGGAGCAGAAGAAACGTCTTATCAACCCCAAGCTTCTGAACAGTAATGTGTATAAAAATAGTATTTTCAAGGAAGGTTGTTGCTTAACGTCGCTGTCTAGCCTACGAAGTCAATATCTACCTTATTCACTTCCTTAATAGAAGAAGTTCCTGCTCTTATTGTGTATGATTGATCAGTTCACGTTTAAAGAAAGAAAGAAATGTAGTCTTTCATCTGTAATGTAAGAAGTTGCTTCTCCTCAGAAATGACTTTCTATTTCTCCTGCTCAAGTTTAACAAGCGTCTGCCTGCTGTTTCAAGAGAGAAATCGATCGCAAACTCTAGAATCTAACACCCACTTTCCACAATGCAACCCTTTCCTATTGGACATAATGAAGTGCCACACTACTTTATTGATTTATTATTAAGATGTCACATTATGGCAGTAAAATGAGCTGCGATGCTATCTGAAGCAGTGGTTCAGTGAGGACAGGAGTATGTCCCGATACAGTTGCATCTCTCTTTCCTTGAACGTTCTATAAATAAAGGCACAAGATCCGCTGAAAATGCAATCCCAGTCTAGGTAGGACACTCAGTGGATTTCAGTACAAGATGCAAAGTGAGTTTTTTCCCCCTGAATTTATTATTTTATAATGTTTAATGTTTTGCCATGATTTATTCCACGCTATGAAGAACATATTGCCAGCGCTGATGTTCACACAGAATGCGTTTGTGCTGTAAAACTCCATACATTTTGATTTGACTTTTTGAGTTGATCCCTAAAACTAAGTGTCTACATTTTTACTAAGAAATATTTATAATTTTTCTTATTTTATATTATTTATGAACATATATGATTAAGACAAGTTTGTATAACATTTCATATTTCATGCATCTTTTCTGCAAACATATTTAACAAGTCATTTGATCTCTTCATGTGTGCTGCACTCGGGACAGAACTTTCTTTAACCAGATTGTTTTGTAAGTTTTTAATAAGGAGAATGTTACTTGAATCATGTTGTATTTACATTAAGCTGACTACTTCGTTTTAATAAATCAAAATTGATATCTTGAATCAGTCAAATCTTCTGGAAACAAATGATTTTTTGCCATATTGAGTGGAGTTTCTGTGCCTGTGGATTTCTGGATCAGGCCTGCAGCTTCAGTGATGTCTGTGTCCAGATCTCAGTGCGAGCGAGTGCTCACCTGGCGAGCTGACCGGTTGTCTGGTGAAGGACACGTTGAATGCGGGCTCCTCGCTGAGCGCAGACAGATACATCCTCCGGCGAATGAAGAAGCCTGCGCCGCAGCAGAACAGCACACCCATCATCAGCAGCAGCCTGCGAGACACACAGCACATCTGTGATGATCAGATTAGGGCTGCACGATATTGGAAAAAACTCACATTGCAATATTTTATTTTTCTGCTATATGAAAAAACAAAATCACCACATGACTTGAATAGTTTATTTGGAAAAAAAAAATAATGATTGGGGTGATTTTGTAGACGATTAAATCAGCATAGGTAATAAACAAATTACAAGCATAGATAAATATAACAGAACAAAGATACAAATGAAATAAGCAGTGCTTTATATTTTTCAGGTAAGTCTAACAGTATTCAGACACAGAAATTGAATAATAAAATGTAAAATAACAGCATAGTCTTCACTGTATAAATTAAATCTAATAAATCTGTGTTAAAGCTACAAAAGTGATTTTTCTTTGTTTTGTTTGATTTAACATTCATAACACAGAAAGCCTCAGGAACATTAAACTGCTGTGAACCAATATAAGCTACTGTTACACATCCATTTTCTTTCTCAATTGTTTCCCTTCACCTAAGCCATAAGCATCTGTGTTTACAAGGATACTTGCAGAGCACAGTATTTCAGGCACAAATAGACGCAGAAGTGAACAGAGTTCAGTGTTCACGTGCATCTGCGTGGCTCTCACCGTGTCTACACCGGAGGCAAGCGGCGCGACAAAATACAGTGAACCCATTATAATCAGTGATGCTGTCTACACTGGATGCGGCGCGGCACGACATGACACGACAAATCCCCGATGGTAAACTGATGCCTTGTTCTCTTTATGACGTTCTGACACAAAGTTCAAATGATTGGCAACAGTCGCTTTGTCGCGTCCAGTGTAGACAGACTTTGGGGCCGTTCACATGTCGCGCCTAAAAACGCCAGCCGCTCCGCTTTCTCCTTCTTTCAAAAACGCTCGGGAGCTTGCGCTTTCATGGCGTCTGCCATTGCTAAGTGACCGTGACCCGCGCTCTCTGCGACGACGCGGAAGTTTCAACAAAGGATAAACAGATTTCCAGCACTTAAAATCACGTGCAGTAGCTCTGCTACTAAATGTATTTAAATGGGTATCTCTGTACAGCTGTCGCGTCCGGTGTAGACACCGTGTCTGTGTGCGAGCAAAGAAAACAATCAGTATAAATATAATGATCAGTAGCCTATACTAAACCTCACACATCCTGCGGTGTGACTATCGCAGATGCGTATATCGCGATATCGATGCTGAAACGATATATCGTGCAGCCCTAGATCAGATAGATGACATATGGCACATATTAACTGAACTATTCTACTGAAGTGCTAAATAATAAGTCCCGTTTTAGCGTCCGCATCAAATTAAACTTACAGAAGTGATTTATAGACATAGAAAGCATATTAAATGTTACTACTTTAATGCTTCAAGTAACTTTAGTGAAAATAAAAGGTCAAAATATGGGTGAAATATTTCAGAGTATCAGATATATTTAAGTAAAATGAAACGATATACTTATTCTGACCTGTACTTTTTTTTTTTAATTTTATGATATTTTAAATGATTAAAAAACGTCTTGCTGACAAATGTGTAAAACTAGTGGTTTAAAGCACAGTGAATTAATAAAGATTTATAATGACGTTGAATTAATATTTTGGTGCTGCACTGTGATCCTTCTGGTTCTAAATATGCCTGACAAGATGTTTTGGGTAAATTAACTGCTTTTCATCTTTGACCCAAAGATTACTGGAGCCAGTTTTACAAGACAATACTAGTTCGGTTTTTCAACTTCGGAATTTCACGTTTAAGTCAATGTTACATGCCATTTCTTTGTAATTATTTGTGAAATTAATTAAAATAAAACACAAGCTAAAAATGTAGAAAAGCAGTTCTTACCAGAAATACCAGAGTCTCTGGATGGAAAGTGCTCGGACGCAGCAGCGAGTCCCACAACAGTCCTCGTACGAGCGACATCTGTGGAGAAACCGTGCGTAAGAGGTCAAAACAGCTCGCTTCATTTACATTTACAACCGAATGTGTGCACGGATCCGGGGCCGAGAGCCGATACCATCTCGCTTACGCAAAACACCAACAATGATGAATGAAGCCGCGGCCAAATGAATACTAATACATAACAAGATGAAGGATCGGAGGAGATCAGAGGCGTTTAAGATGTTCACAGCAGCTGCAGTACATTTTGTGCAACTATAAAGAGTTCAGAAACCTGCAGCGATCTGAGTCCCAAAAAAATATCAACATTTTTGAGATTAGAGTTGATCTCTCTAGTGCTGTCTGGTATGAAATCATCATTTAAATCAATGAATATATTAACCTGGCTGATAAATGCTGGTGTATTTCTGCTTTGTTCATCTCTGATGCATGTATTGTTGATGATGTTCTCATTCAGTCATGCTGCTGTTAGCTGCTCTGATGGTAATAATCATGTTCTCCTGCCGCTGGTTCCTCATTAATGGCTCATTAAGTATGCTAATGCATCGCACAGGTTGGCACAGCTTGGAAAAAGGGTGTTGTGCTTTCAGTGTTCTTCACAGAAAAAGTGCTGTCATTGTGTCAGTGTGGAGCGAGAGAGGAACAGCATTCAGTCGCTCCACACTGACACAATGACAACACTTGTGCCATATTGTGAAATGAGCCGAGCGGTGAGAGAAACCGACGAGCCCCACCAGAATGACTGCGATGCATTAGCATACTTAATGAGCCATTAATGAGGAACCAGCGGCAGGAGAACATGATTATTACCATCAGAGCAGCTAACAGCAGCATGACTGAATGAGAACATCATCAACAATACATGCATCAGAGATGAACAAAGCAGAAATACACCAGCATTTATCAGCCAGGTTAATATATTCATCGATTTAAATTAAGAACTCTAACTCTAATCTCAAAATTTTTTATTTTTTTTTTTTGGAAAGAAATCATTACTTTTTTGTAACAAGGATGCATTAAACTGATGAAAAGTGAGAGTAAAGACATTTATAATGTGACAAAAGATTTCTATTTCAAATAAATGCTGTTCTTCTGAACTTTCTGTTCATCTGTGAATCCTGAAAAATAAAATGTATCGCAGTTTCCACAAAAATATTGTGCAGCGCAACTGTTTTCAACCTTGATAGGGGTTTCATTAATGTTAATTTTAAAATAAATTATATAAAAAAATGATCTTTTAAAAATGCAGTCTTATGGTGTAACCATCAAGCAATAAATTAGTCTTCAATATAAACTAACAGGGTTACTTCAGGTTATAAAATGGCATGGTAAAAAAAAAAATTACACTTACATGTAATGAAGAAAATATTATTATTATACCAGGCCATTTTAAAACCTGAAAAATATGACTTAAGGTTGTAAAATAAATAAATAAAATAATTAGCTGTCATAAACGTATCAAATTTAAGAGAAAAGCATGTGCTAAATGTATTATTTATTTATTTGCTTTGAATTTAATTTGATCTATTTATTTATTTTTGCATGTTGCTGCATGTCGGTTGCACCACATACATTAATTTTGGGGAACACATTTTTTTCAAAAATTTTCAAATATCACATTTCAAATATTAATGGTCCTGTTCAAAAATTATATTGTATAAGGATTTTTTTTTTAAAGTATTTATTCATTTATTGATTTAGCTGTTTTATTACCATTAATGAGATGGACAGTGCAGAAATAAAAGAGTTGTACAGTGCAAGCATGTTTAAACAGAAGCAAATAAAGTCAAAGCCTCAGCAGGGTTTGCACTGAAAGCATCAATTTAATATAAATCTAATGTCTCAAGATAGTCTTGAACAATGAATTTTCTCAGGGCCTACAGGAACAGAATAGGCTGTGATTCACATAAATTACAGGACAATCTCAGCATGCATCAGCGCTTTCCCACAGTTTCCCACAGCAATATATGCCACTTGTCAGTTGTGGAGCTGTTCTGATATTAACCTTTACCTGTACGTGCGTCAGAACAGTCTCTCGAGTGGAAGGACAGCAGAGGTTCAGAGTTTGTCCTCTGACGCTGAACCACTGAAACAGGTCCTTTATTTCTAACGACTAAAACAAGTCACCTGTCACGGTATGAGCAACACTGAATATGAAATCACTCCAGCTCGTTTATGATGGAAAAAATGTCTAGACTATTAATCGGGACTACACTGGCTAATGAAACCCAACAACAAATGTTCCCACTTATATCCATTAAAAACTTGACAAAATTTGAGTTTTAGTTTACGAAATGTACAATTTTCACTCAGAAATTGCTAATACATTTCACAAATAATTACAAAGAGCATCAAGTAACACACTGAATTAAATATGACATTTTAATTAAAAGTAATGTCCTGTAAAATGAACTCCAATAATCTGTATATATACAGTATATATATATATACATCTCATTTGACCTTAAAAAAAAAAAATATATATATATATGATTTGGGAGACAGTTACTGTTTTTGGATACACTCACACACACTCACACTCACACTCACCATACACATACACATACACACACACACACACACACACACACACGCTCAACTCCAGCAGTCTAGACCATAATTTCTCACACAGTAAAACCAAATATCACAATGTCACATGTAAAGGTCAGCATTTTGTTTGACCATCTGCAAACCTGGAAACAAAGGTGGTAAAGAAAATGTGATGTTTGCTTGTGCAAAACATTAGTTTAGCTAAAGGACTAGTTCAGCTAAAAATAAAAATGTGCTCAAATAAGTAATGTCATTAACAATCTCGTGAACTGAGTCCCGTGTTTGATGTAGAGAATGACAATAAGCCTCTTCCTTAAAGTTGCTTCGCTGTGATCTGATCTGGTTCTTCAGCATCCAGCAGAGCTTGAAAGTTGATGCAGTGACAGGTCAACATGTTTCTCTCTGACTGCAGCTTCACGCTTCGGCGCTTTAACTGTGATGTTGATGGATGCCGTCTGCTTTGGTTTGATTAAGATGTTAAAAACACATTCATCCAAATGGAGAGACAAGAATTTAAAAAACAGTGCACCCAAAATGTATAGGCCCTCATGTCCTTTGAAATCCTTCTCCATGTCAAGCAAGATTTCCAGTGAACAGCACTCTTTTTTCCCCTCACAAATCATAATTCATCAAAACTTACACTTTAAATCTCGAAGTTCAATCAAATAAAAAATAATGAATAATGTGCTTATCTGGCATGTTTTTACTGAGCAGGCTTAAACACAGTTAGACAATACTTCGTCTTATTTTTTAAACTGCAATATAAAATCCTACTCCTGTGATTGTTGGTATGCTGGGTAAAAACCACTGCCACTGTGGATGCTGAAGCAGATAATTAGCCATTGATGATGACCTTTCAGCAGAACATCTGTAACTGAAGGTCCTAATTACCAGCACACTTTAAAAGTCGCTGCCCTTTGATTTAACGAGCGTAAGCGTCCGCATTGACTTTCTGATATTTACTGCAAGCCTTTGTTCAGTGAGGTGTAAAACAACTCTGAAGGAAGTCACGCCGCTTTAAAAATACATAAATATATACAGTTGTGATCAAAAGTTTACATACACTTTGCAATATAATGTTAATTATTTTACCAAAATAAGAGGGATCATACAAAATGCATGTTATTGTTTATTTAGTGCTGACCTGAATAAGATATCTCACATAAAAGACGTTCACATATAGTCCACAAGAGAAAATGGTAGTTGAATTTATAAAAACGACCCGTTCAAAAGTTTACATGCGCTTGATTCTTAACACTGTGCTGTTTCCTGAATAATCCACAGCTGTGTTTTTCTTTATTTGGTACGGTGGCCGAGAAGTGCAAAGCAGATCACAATTCTGAAAACAAATGTTTTCTGAATTGTTGTTGTGCTTTCTGAATTGTTATTTTGTTTTTTAGACTTGCATTTGTGTTTGTAATTTGTTATTTTGTTTTCAGAATTGTGATCTGCTTTGCACTTCTCGGCCACCGTAATTTGGTGATAGTTGTTCACGAGTCCCTTGTTTGTCCTGAACAGTTAAACTGCCTGCTGTTCTTCAGAAAAAACCCCAGCTCCTGCAGATTCTTCAGTTTTCCAGCATATTTTGCATATTTGAACCATTTCCAGCAGTTTCACACTGAGGACAACTGAGGGACTCATACGCAACTATTACAGAAGGTTCAAACGCTCGCTGATGCTCCAGAAGGAGCCGAATTTGAAGATCAGGGTAAATTGAACTTAGTTTGTCTTCTGGGACAAACATGTAACTATCTTCTGTAGCCTCTGAAGGGCAGCACTAAATGAAAAAAATATGATATTTAGGCAAAATAAGAAAAATGTACACATCTTCATTCTGTTCAAAAGTTTTCACCCCCGGCTCTTAATGCATGGTGTTTCCTTCTGGAGCATCAGTGAGCGTTTGGAGACAGGGACATAAAGCTGAATCATCAGAAATACCACAGTCTGCTCGCCACGATTAGCCTGTAAACATTACCGTTTGGGACGAAAGAAATTCACTGCCTTAAAAACAGCACTGCTGCAAAGAAAGACCTATGGTTGAAGTTTAATAGGCTTAAGGAGAAACGTCTATAGAAATCAATAACACGGCAACTTAATCAAGGGATTACTTTATTTTATTTATAAGGATGAATTTCTTTCGTACCAAACTGCAATGTTTACAGGCTAATCGTGGCGAGCAGACTGTGGTATTTCTGATGATTCAGCTTTCTGTCCCTGTCTCCATCCCTCCTGAAAGATTAAAAGCTTACAGAAAGCCTTCTCTGATCTGCTCTGGCTCGAGTCAAGCGTCGCAGGCGTGCTGTGAGCATCGGAGCAAGTGCTGCTGTTCACATTAGAGATGTGAGGGATCAGGAGCTTTATTGAGATCTGCTAGTGAGCGACGCCTCGTGGTACCATCACAGAGAGGCTCAAAATCACTTTCCAGAACATTCTCGTTCACCATTCCCGGCTGGTGGAGTGATCTTCCCACCCCTATCCGGAATGCTGAATCCCTGACAATGTTCAAGCGACAGCTGAA